CGCGAGGCTTGGCTGGAGGCGATGGAAAGCTCTGGAGACTGATAGTGGCGATGGCTCATCACAGTGTCCATGTGCTTAATGCCACCTAATGCCGTGGTAAACTTAAAAATGGTTAGAATAGTAAATTTTCTATAACGTACATTTTATCACAATTTTTTAAAAAAGCAGGGTGGAGATTCATTCCGCAAACTGCAGATGGCCTTCCTGTGACAGCATGGCCTGTGGCTGCCCGGGGTGCCAGCGCCGGGTGCCAGGGCTGGCGTCCTCCCTGCGCCGGTGCGGAGAGCCACATCTCCATCTCTTGCTGGTGGGAGTGGGCTTTTTGTGATATCCTGAGAAAAGGAATTTTCTGAGACTCGAACAGGAAGATGAGATGTTATACAAAGCTTTAGTTCTGTGAACGCAAACCCCTGAGCTTCCAAGATCTCATTTCCCTCAGTCACACCATGGAGGAGCTCCGTTTCGCCTTGAGCGGGGCTATGGTCTGAGCCAGGGTCCAGAGTTTCCATTCCATTTTGCGCGCTCCAGTCCAGCATCAGACCAGCTTAGCTTGTGTTTTCAACTGCTGTCCCTTCGCCCATTGTGTGTGGGGTCCGAGTGGCTGTGGGTCATACAGGCAAATGCAAGGAGGTAAGATTGAGCCACAAGCCGAGAGTCACAAGAGAGCAACAAGAGAGAGAATTCTCTTGTTTAGGGAATTATGTATTCCCAAATTTTCATGGGTTTGCAGTGGTCACTCCCAATCTGGCCGGTGATCTCTGTTCCCAGGTTTGACTGACGGCAAGCACCTTCCCTATGTCACCCCAACATCACTATGCACGTGTCTCTTTCCCCGTTGGTGAACTCCTTTTCCCACTGACCTGTGGGGAATGGGTGGTGGTTCCCTGGGGACTGTGAAATTGAAGCTTCCTGGTGAAGCTGCCCAAACGACATGCCTGTAATGTCTCGCCTCCCTTTCAATCCTTTCCTATGATTAATAACTAGCCAGTTACACGGTATCACCTTCCATGGGGACATCATCATCAGGGCTCAGGCAGGCATAAAGCTCAAAGGCAGTGCAGAGGAGAGATCACAGGGTATTCATTGAAGAGCCTCAGTCTTCAAGTTTGATCAGGTAATGGGAGCCAAGCCTAGATAGCATCTAGCTCTCCTCTGAGGAGCTGTGTCAAGGATCAGCCTGGTCCTGAAGCTTGGGCAGGGTTTTGAGGGGGTATGCGATGGGGTGGGGTGGGTGCGTAAGTGGGAAGGACTTATAATCAACAAATGATGGGTGCCTCCCACAGTGGGGCAGGTCCTTCTCCATAATCCATGGGTGCTGAGAGCACAGTTCCTTTCATCCCTCATGCTGGTCCTGCAGCAGCTCCCTGCCACCCAAGAAACTTCCCAAGAATCCCACACATTTCCACCGACACTAGAAATAACCAAGAGAAGAGCCTACTGTTATTTGTTATTTACAGCTGACCTGAGGTCTTACCGTGCCATTGCTGATTATGTAATATTTTCATATTTACTGAGCCCCTGTCAGTACCAGGCACTGGGACACACCTTGGAAATACAATGGAACACCATGACCCTCCGGTTAACCAGTGGTCTCTTTCATGTCGACTATATGAAATATTAGGTGCTACGAAATGCAAACGTCACCTCCCCTTGCTGCAGAGCTGTTGAGGCCTGTTGTCTAGAGAACTATAGAAATGAAGCCATGAGGTCAATTTCACACCCTCCACCCAAAGGCCCAGTTAATTTCTTCTATGACAGGTGACAGCTGGTGTCCTCAGTTTGACCAGCCCCCTTACAGATGATGACTCTGAGCAGATGTGTGCTGATGCAATGACTCTTAGTTCCTGCAGCTGTGCCACACTAACATGCTTAATCTGCAAAGGACATTTCACCTCTGCACGTGACTCCTAGTAGCAGCATAATTGAGGCTTTCATTTGGGTTGAGCATTTAGCCACATAGACTGCTATGTAGAATTAGGTATAAAATCCATTTTCTTTTCAAAGGGTGTTTAATTATAACTGACATTTAAAAACATCATTTTGTGTATTTGCTCTCTGGTACTTGAAAAGTCCAGCCTCCCTATCTTAGGTCCAGCATCTTCCCTTTAATGTACTATACCATTATAAGGGGAAAGAAATCCTAGTTTATCAAAGAGAATTTCAATGCCTGTGTCACATCTGATGCACACAAGGTTTTTCTCCCTGTGCCAGAGAATATATCTCTTTTAGCTGATCACTGGCTTCTTTTGCCCACTTCAGCCTAATTGGCCTGGAGATTATCCAATTAGTTTCGTTTCACCTTCTAAAAGGGCACCAGATGTACTGCATTCTTGCACAAAAGCGTTTCTGATTGGGGATGCCTAATTTCCCTCAGTCCTTACCATCATTCACTTTCTGTGGGTGTACCAGGTGTCTTCAGGCAACAGACGTATTTGAAAATAAAGCTAATGAGTGTAATGCACTCAGCCAGGAATGTAGAATGTAGTTAGCGTTTGCCCGGGCGGAGCGTTGCGGAGGACAGATTTACGATGTACAGCATTACAACGGGACTGTGTGTTCTGTTTTCGCCTGGAAGAGACACTAAGATCATTGGGCCCTTAACCAATAAGCCATGGAGGCTTTCAAACTACACTAGAGCAAAACAATCTCCCTGGAGAGATTCCAGGTGGCTATCACGCGTTAAGGTTTTCCTTGGTCTAGGTTCACCTTCTGAGTGTCCAGCTCATGCTCTCCTTGAAGCTGACGGGACGCCACAGTCGCAGGGGTGTGTGGGGCGGGAAAACCCGGCTCCACACGAAGCGCCTCTCGGCCATTTCTTGACCTGAAATCCACGATCCGGAGCGTCTGAAGACACGCCGTCCTGTCGAGGCCGTTTTCCCCGCCCGCCCACAGCTTCCCTGTCTGCAGAGGTCACGTGGAAGGCGCCCACGGGCGGGTAACAAACGGTGTTACCGGCAGAGAGCCCCTGAGAATGTGGGGAATGGAGGTGCAGCCTTTGCTCCCCTCAGAATGCTTGTCAGCTGCCATTCGCAGAGTCGCACCTTTGAACTCCTTTGTTCCATTAAAAGTGGGATTTTTCTGGAAGTGATAGAAAACTAAGCAAATCCAAAATGAAATGTGGTTTCTCCTTTTCTGCAAAGGAGAGTAAGAATTAAACGTCATCTTATTAGAGCTGTCACGTAACCTCTAAGGGCACTTGTCCAAATAACGATAGTGCACAACTTCATAAAGCATGCCCTAGCTCATTTAACAGTGTTTGAAGAGAATGGGCAAAGGCACACCGAAGCACTTACCTTTAAAGGCGTTTGTGAGTGTGGAGGCACCATCTTTTAAAAGCAGTTTTTAAATGGTGGCATTAGCTGAGTTTTTGGTGGGACAGAAAGTCATGCCACGGTTCATTCTTCTTTGGTAAAAATATTCTCCACCAGCTGCCTGCTGCCCGCTGCTCGGCATGGAATGATCTCCTGATGTCATCCCTACCATGAAATGAATGTCACTAAAGCATCCCTAAACCAGATACGCGCTGGGCGCATTACCCGAGAGCAGCTGAAGCGTGGCCGTGTGGCCTTTCTGCTGGCGAGCGGTCGGAGCTTGCGGCACAGCGAGGCACCGAGAGCGCCTCGCCGCGAGCGTCTGCCTGGCTTTGTGGCAGCGCA